AAGCTGAATGTTTTTCTATTGCATGAAAAAGAACATTAACACAATGCGTATTTGCCCCGAATATGAGGGTGCCGTCCGCATATAGTACTTCAAGGAAATAAATGCCATCAATGGGCTGATGCTGCCTGGGAGTGTTGAGTTCAACCTTGATATCCGAAAATAGGGCTTCCATTGCTAAGCAAAATAAATCAGGTGATAGCAGACAGCCTTGTCTTATACCTGTATGTTGACTTAGCCGTTCAGGAATCATTCCCACCCATACTAACGTTAAACTGCGGGTCCCCGATAGAAGCTTTCGATCAAGTTCCTAATTTTGTTTGGAACTTTCATCCTTTTCAGAGTTTCAATAAGTTTATGTTGAAAGAAATTATCGAAAACCTTCTCCCAATCTAAGAGTACCAAAGTGATGCTACAGTTCGATTTTTCTGCCATATCTTGCAATCTTCTGGCTACGTATATTGCTTGGCGTGCTCCTGGCTTTACGGAACCCATATTGAGTTTGCATGAGCCATGCGTCCGATCCCTTGTCCAGTCTTGCTTTAACTAGTGCGGAAATCGGTCTATAAATTTTCAAGGGAAGTAGGATCACCTTTCTTGTAAATCGATACCACTACGGCTTTGAGGATTTGTTCGGTGACTTCTCCTCCTTCAGGACATTTGTTTGCGTAAAGACTTATTATCTTTCGTCTAGCCATTTGAAGAGCTCACCAGGCACTCCACAGTGGCCAGGTGTCTTTAGAGATTTAATTCGTCGACATACATAATCCAATTCATTAAGGGTGAAAGGGGATTCATCCGCAACATATGAACCATTTTGTAGTGGATTGTTCTCTCTAGACGGTTGAGACGGGAAGGAGGTTGACGGAGAGTAACCACCCCATTGGATCTTAGATAAGTACTCGGCAGCTTTTTGCGGATAGTCAGCTTGATGGCTTGATGCATATGTACCGTCCTTGCTCTTGAATTTGGTGAATTTGGGCCTAGCAGGGTACAGTGTAGTACTGTATAAACCCGACAGCCAACGCCCTTTGGACGCGATCCGAGCGACAGATCAGGTCCATCAATCGGGTCACCTCTTGCACCGCCGTGATGCCTCAAGAGGCGGCATGAGAGACTTGAAAATGCAGGATAGCGAGTGATAAGTATCCTTGCGGACGTCAGCATTCAGGTGTGTCTTTGTGTCTGTTTCCCACTGACTGTTCCGTTTGACGGCCTTGGAACGCAACCGCCCGTCTGGCCTCATCCGGTGCTATCATGCCCTTGTGGTGATGCCACGAGTTCGAGCTGTGGGGTCGTGGAAGGCATGACTGTGCGAGCGACTTCTCCAGGGGGTCGCGCGCTTGAGAGTTAGGGCATGTTAGGGCCACACACACCCCCTGCTCCAGTTGTCTACTGCTCTTGCTACCGCTGCTGCAGCTTCGAAGCCCCAGCTCTGCAGTGAAACAGCAGAACTTCACAGGGCTTCCCAAATGGAAAGGCAGGGACCCGGGCAACCCTGCATTTGCGCAATCGCAGCCGTGTCTGGGCGATCTCTTAGCGTCGCAATGGTCTGCGTGAAAACTCATCGTGAAGTCATGGCAGGACATGGCCTTCGAGTTGCCAAAGCCATGAGCTCTGCGCAATGACTGCTGTCAGCGATCCAGGAAGCATCTCCTGATGCAGGAACTTAGCATCTTTGCAAGCTTAGCTGCGCAGCTACGCTGGCAGAGCAAGCATCCCAAGTGATGGCATATATGGCACAACACCTGGCAAGCTCGCCTGCAAATTGAACGTTGCATCTTGCACAGCCAACGTGGGGGTATGGCTGCCGTAGGCAAGGACAATATCCTCGGTTGCAAAAGGCACTTTCACCTCTAGCTTCTTACCGAAATTCCTGCTCGACATTCGCGTTTGCATAAATACATTGTACATAAAACATAGCATAAACCATTGTTCAATGTAGTTGATCATACGTTTTCATGTGTATATATATATATGTGTATGTATGTATATGGTATAAACATACAGATCTATTTCGACTTCCATAAACATATATTGACTCGAGGCCCAGGAGCAATGGAATGCTCTGGCCGCCACGGCTGCATGTGGGACAACCTGGGATCGGTCGCCGCTTGCAACACTGCACTATACTACTGTTGATGATATAAATCCTGCATTACCTTAAGGACCTTAAACTATGGGAATTATGGCATATTCCTTTTTATGGGTAATGCAGGATTTATATCATCAACCGTAGTGCTATATACCCTAATACCCTAATAGACTATACTGACAACAACACCATCATAGACTATTGTTTATTGTAGTATATGATATAACTTACAACTTTTTGGCAGCTGGCAAGGACCGCCGAGACTCGATAGCAACCCGTTAGAGCTCACAGAAGGACCCCGGGCCTTCGGTGTACCATCGGATAAAGTCTCTCTATGCGATACGGTTGATGAAATAAATCCTCCATCACCCATAATAAGGAATATACCATAATTCCCATAGTTAGAGTTTAGGGCCCTCAGGTAATGCAGGAGTTATATCATCAACAGTATACAAACATAAAGCATAGGACTTTTTCAAGATGCAGGGCTGTGACTCCATCTCTTTCTTGCCAAGGCTCCTTTGTGTCAGCTCTTTGAAGTTCCAGTTGACGGCCGCTGAAGACATCCTAAGCATCACGCGCCTAACCACAACAACCGTAACAATGTCATAAGACATTGGGGTTTAGGGTTCAGACATCCTAATTAGGTCCTAGGAGGACACGAAAGATGCACACCTGCAACCTTTTTTCAATGTACCCCGCCCCCCCCCCTCCCCCCCGCCCGAAACACTTCTTTTCTTCCCCCGCCCCGCCCGAATTTACTATTCGCGTAGTATATCTGATGGTATTGTGCAGTATAGAAAAGCATTTTAACGTGCAGCATAGCACTAGCATTTGCATTAGCACTAGCAGCACTAGCACTAGCACTAGTATTCGCGTAGAGCAGAACCGAAAAGCATAGTATAGAATGGCCATGTCATCACAACATAATCACAATAGCAGTAAGTGTAATCATCTGCCTCTCCAAGGCTCTGCCAGAAGTTGTCCGATGCGGATGCCAGTCCGGCTTCGTACTCGTTGTAGATGTGCCTGAGCTTTAGGGCTTTAGGGTTCAGGTTCTGTGGTTCTATGAGGGAAGAGGCTGGTTGAACCAAGTGTCATAGGTGCTGACGTGGGTTTGGCGAGGTCTGATCTGGTCTAAGATGGGGTCCTTACCCAATTAGACCAGGGTTTCGGGGTGCAACATACTATAATATTCTTAGGAACTACGAAGCGACTCTTTATTGCTAAGTATTCAGACTCCTGTATTCAGGCTTTTGCGTGGGTTTACGGCTAAGGGTGTAGGATCGCCGACAAATCCTCTAGTGGCATGGGCTTTCACTGAAAATTACGAATGTAGGAAGTTGATTAAGAAACCTTGGATCTTGGTCAGGGTTCTCAATATGAACCCTAATATTTTGGGGTTATAGGTGTTTCTTAATCAGGTTCCTACATTATCCTTAACAAAGCCTTGGGGCTACCGCCAGACCTGGAAGTGTCACAGCACCCCCCCTGGCTCGGAAAACAGGGACCAACTAAGACGCCAAGTATCCGCCACTGCGCGCTCGAAGGCAACTGCGCCTTCAACAATGATGGTGCCTGAGAGCGGAATCAGGAGGACGTTTACCCATAGCAGAGTATAGTGTATGTTGCAATGTAGTATACTATACTGAGTATACTAAATAGAATCGTATAGTATAATATAGTAGAGCACAGTGTAGACCACTATAGTATCGTGTATAGCCTAGGATACCAGAACATAGCGTAGGCAGCATGGAAGAGCAGGGGGCACTCCGGCCGAGGGGCCAAAATGAAGTCGCCGCAAGCCTTGACCATGCCCTTGATGTCCTGGCTAAGCTTAGAGTTGAACGATGCTAGATCGTAAACTCGGAGACATTTGTTTACGCGCCTGTTCGACTTGACAACACATTGAAACCATGCCCACAACTTGCAAGCGTCTGCTGTCTTCCGGGCTGCTGTCTCAGGGCTTCGTGTTGCGAAAAACTTTACCCCGAGAGCATGCCATTCACAAACTCTGAGATCATATGGCTTTAAATATATACACAAATGTGTATAAATACATATTATATGTATACATACGCAGTCAGTTACTACTTAGTTGACTTAGTTACTACTGCTGCTGCATCATCTGCACACCTATACCTGCCAGGAAGCCCTCTGCTCCGCCAAAGTCTTGAGGCTTGCAGCACGGTCGGCCAAGACCTCAAGGATATCTCGAAGTTCGAGGCATCGAGTCTGTTTTGAATTAAAAGCAGCTTTCAATTAAGCACGGCTTATAATTTAGAACAGTTTGTAATTAAGCATAGCATTGCATTGTATATAGTACGAGTGTGCCATACGACACTAAGCAGGCGTTGCAGGCCTTGTGCGTGCTGCTGTGCACGAAGCCAAGCCTGCGCAGGCCAGTCGGAAACACGGGCTTCGTGCGGGCTGGAAGAGAACTGCCTACTTGTCCAGTTTCCTAGGGGAACTAAAGATTAACTATTGGGGCTGGCTAGGGGTTATAGCACCCCAAAAAGGGTAAAGCGCGACGTGAGATGAGCTGCGTCTCCAGCGCGTAAGACGAGCTTCGCGAATTTGCGAATTAGGCTCAGAAGTGGTGGGAAGCAGACCGGCAACGGAGTAGGTGTGATTCCCGGGATGCGATGCGAATGTTTCAGGACTCGGACACCTGGGTTTTCCGAGAGGATGAGGATGGGTCGGGGTTTCAATGAAGGCACCACATTAGTGCAACCCCTTCTAGGATGACCATGATCGGTTAAAGGTCGCCTACTTTAAGCCCTACCTTAAGCTACCATAACCTACTTTTTTGTAGGTTCTGACTATACATAGAATTTATAGGGGTAGCTTAAGGTAAGCTCTAATCCCTAAGCCGAAGACTGGGGGGCCTGAAGACCCAGCTGGTGTTCACTGCCAGGATGTGCTTCAGGCGCGACTGCAGCTTCCAAAGCAGCGGCACCCCCAGTCCGAAGGTGTTGTCCATCAAGATAAGCCTTGCCAGGAACGTGCTTTTTAGGCACCGTTTTCACTGTGAGTGCCACGGGCTCTGCCTACCCAAGACATCCGGGTATGCTGGGCTGGCAACTTGTAGGGCAACGGGAGCGTGTCGATCATGGTGTATAGATCTGTGTAGAAGGCATGACCGGTCGAATCGAGATCGTCTCCGGCTTGCAGTAGCTCAGGACTCACCTAAACGCCGCTGTGAGGGGATGGGTTTGAACTACCGTGAATGTCGCTCGGAGAAGCATGCAAATTCTAGCAAATCAATCCCTGCGACCGCTTCGGCAGTAATGCAGAAGATCCGTCGGTTGAGTCGGTGTGCCTTGGCTTGCCGCTCGCTTTCTGCTTCTGTCCTAGGCCTAGGTAATCGCGATCTATGCCCGTGTTCTGCAACACTAACCCACCTTCCTGGACCTGCCCTAGCGGGAACATGCGGTCACACAGATTGTGCGAAGGTGCCATTATCCTCATAGCTGGCTCTTGGAGACTCCACGGCATGAGCCAGTTGAAGCCTCAGGAAGGTGTGACAGTCGGGGCATCTTGTGATGTCTTCGAGAGCTTGTCCATCCTTGGTTACCTGGATTCAGAAGATGCGTCTGGTGCAGACTGCGACTGCCAGCTCACACGAACGGATCAAGATCCCCGTAAGTTGCCGGCCAAGGTAAAGTACTGGGTCATGAGTCACGCTGTTTGGGTGGATCACAAAAATCTTAGTGCACCCCAGCGAACTGAGGCTCCAAAGCACCACGGCATGATGCCATGCAAGCTCACGTCGCAGTCAATTTGAGCCTAGCGTCTGTTCGTAAAGATCCGTTGAAGTGAAGACGTCGTGCTTCAACGCGCACTTGAGATTCAAAGGCCTGGCAGTCATGTAAACTCCTCTTGGGCACCTGTACTTCCGCCCCTTATACACCCTTTGTTACACAGACTTGATTCGTGGGCCACTTTTTTGACAAGCTGGACTCCAGTCTAACCAGGCCGTGCCCCTAAACCCTCAACCCTTTAGGCCCTAAGGCTCTCATGAACCCTAAATTAACCCCTAAACCCTAAACCCTTTGAACGAGGTCTCTCTGAAGTGCCTCCAAGCTGCCCGCCTGCCTCCCTAAACCCTATAAACCCTAAGCCCCAAATGAAAACCTCCGTAGCTTCTGCGCCAGTCTCGGGCTGCAGGGGTCCTGGCCTCCGGGTAGCTGCTACTCAAGCTCTGGATGCCAAGCTCTTCAACCACCGGAAGCGTTTGAAATTGTGCCTTCGGGCTGGCAAATTTAGGGTTTAGGGTTAGGGTTTAGGGTTTAGAGACGCGGAAGCTTTGCAGCAGGGCTCTCTGGGAAAGTCGAGGGGCCCTTTTTGTTAGCCCGGGGGAGGGAAGGGCGGTGAGCTTAAACCCTAAACCCCTAAACCCTAAGCGCTAAACCCTAAGCGCTAAACCCTAAATCCCTAAACCCTAAATACCCTAAACCCTAAGCCCTAAACCCCTAAACCCTAAGCCCTAAACCCCGAAACCCCTAAACCGCAAGGCAGCTCTGTCGTCTAACGTTCCTCGCGCTCCGAGCTGAAAGCCGAAACCCAGATCTTCTACGAAAGCCGCCTCGTCCATGTCCATGATTTCCTCGGCTCAGAACCCAGAGACTCCAATATCCCTTAATTAAGGAATATACCTTAAATCATATCAGGGATCCTACTATAATTTAAGGGGCTATTCCTTAATTAAGGGATATTGGAGTCTCTGGGAATGCCATTTCCCTTAAGGGTTTAGGCGCTCATAGCTCGGACATGCCAGGCCAGGTTCCGTAAGGGTTTCAGCACTCACACTCGGACCAGCCTAGGCCTTAAGGGTTTAGGGTTGGGGGGGCGTAGTAGAACTTAGCAGAGTTTTGTATAATGTAGAACAGTGCCGCACACCATGCTATACTCTACTGCACTGTCCTAGACGGTACGATGCGATACGAAACTATCACTTCCTGCGGAAATGACAACACGCTGAGCCAAGTCAGAAGAGCCGCTCTCAGGCGATTCGCCACTGGCTCGAAAGGTTCGCTGTCCTGCGCATGTCGGTAGTTCTTTAAATTAGGGTGCCTTTTAGGGTCCTCTTTTTGAGGATGTCGTACTATTTGTGGGATCTAAAACGGGCCGTAATTCAGAGACCTACCTATGTAGTGCCACCACCACTACAAAAGTGGCGCGAAAAAATCACTGCAGGCGACATGCAGAACGGGCTCTTGGACTGCCAAGTGCCTTTGCAGTCAGCGACCATAGGTAGAGACGTTCGATGGCAGTAACACCTGACTTATCCTTGGCTCCATGACGCTCCACACATCACTCCAAGAAGAGATATGATGCCAGATTCTAACGCCACCGTCCGTGCTTGCCGCAAAGCATCAGCCTCGAACAGAGCCACCGGGTCTCTCGAGAAGATCTCCACCAGCTCCGCCGTGGTGTCGTCTGCCTTACCCCGTCTGAGCCCACAAACTCCAACCAAGGAAGTCTAGGATCGCAGATCCTACCCACATCCTTGGGAGTCGCAACAGACAATCCCACGTTCCCTATCAAGCTCACGGTGCCAAGACGCAAAAAGTGGCACAATGTGAGCCGGCGTACAGCCACGATGATCACGTGAACTGGCAAGCAATGCAGCTAAAGCACATCGCGATTCTTACTATCATTGTCGTTCTTCTTCTGATTAGTATTAGCAGCAGCAGGATGTTTAGTAGTTTTCGTCGTCGTCCTGGTGGTGGTGGTGGTGGTGGTGGTGGTGGCGGCGGCGGCGGCGCCGGCGCCGGTGGTGGTGCTGGTGGTGCTGCTGGTGGTGGTGCTGGTGGTGCTGGTGGTGGGGCTGGTGGTGGTGCTGGTGGTGGTGCTGGGGGTGGTGGTGGTGCTGGTGGTGCTGGTGGTGGTGCTGGTGGTGGTGCTGGTGGTGGTGCTGGTGGTGGTGGTGGTGGCGGTGGGGGTGGTGGCGGTGGCGGGGGCGGCGGCGGCGGCGGCATGCGATGGCACTTGGTATGAAGACGACTCACCCTGACCGTTTGCACTCCAACAGAATGTCGCTTCAATGGGGCTGCCCACATGAACCAATTCCAGGCCCTGTGCAAAGGATCCAAAGCATGCAGAGCCTGCGTTTGCGAGGCCGACGTACACATGCTGTAACCTGACAAAGCTAAGCACGGCTTTGCGAGCATCACAGCCGGCGGTGTTCACTCTCAGCCCGCCACTGGTGACCGACAGCATCTCCGACAACAAAGCTCTGGCCTGCAAGGCAGAGGTCCGCCGCGGCATGAACAAACCATATCCCCAAAACTCCACCCTAAGCCAACGGCCTTCGGAATCTGCTCTTAGACTGTAGACCTCTGGACCTTCTTCCTTCACCAAAAGTCACAAGTCCCTCCAAAGCACACTGAAGACTTGATGACCGCGCAGGGCCCCGTCTTCACACCGATACCACCGGAATATCGGAAAAACCAGGGCTCGCAGAGCACCAACCCCAACTCCTAATTACTGTCAACCCATGCAACCCTAACTCATACGTAAACCGTGGATGGCCCAAAGCCCTCTTTCTGAAAGCCGCAGCTTCCATACAGAGCCCTCCCGACGCCCGCTTTTCAGCCCAAGGGATCTGAACAATTAGTCATAAACTTCGCTCATAGTCCGCATTACTCTTAATGTAGGGGCCTTAACAATTAGAAGAGGGTTTTGGGGTATATTCAACTATAGTATAGGTAATTATTGAGGCCCCTATATTACGCCCATACACCCACCCGACCTCCTCCATGAGCTCCTCCCCCGAGCACCGCGCATCCGCCGTGGCCTCGGAGCACCGAACTTCCAGCGCTCAGGGGCCGAAGCGCTTGGAGTTTTTTTTCCGGGTCCCGAACAGGTCCTTTTACAACCGTCTTGAAAAGGCCGTACTATAAGGGTTCTCTACATAGGCTTTTCCAGGGAGTCTTTAAGGTTTAGGGTTTGGGCTTGGGGCTCACAGTTTGGGGTTTTTGGGTTTAGCGGTTGAGGCTTTGGGTGTTTGAGGCGTGGGCGACAGACTTTTCGGGCTCCGGTTCTTGCCTTCGGAGGGGCTTTTCTGTAGGAGGCCTTCGAGGATTGGGGCCGATCTTCAAGTGCAGGCCTTGAGGACATCAGCTCCCCAAAACTCGCGAGCGTGAAGCCTGTGACATCTCTGCTGCTCGCAGGGCATTCCTGACGATTCACGATGTTTCTGACATCATCCTTACAGACAGCGACAATAATCAATCATCATTAAAAGAGTAATCGCAACACCTGTAACACGAATAACCATATCATGCACATATCAAGAACAAAAGCTGTGGGCATGTGCGAACACAAACAAAACCATGAAAGGAAATTTAAACCCAAGAGAAACAACGAGCTGTGGCTTTGTTTCTGTGCACTTGAGCTCCAGGCGGCCCGACGACGAGTGCCTGCCAAAAAAGCTCTTTCAGCACTTTGTGTTGCAGGGTTTACGGTTCAGGCCGGGTTTCAATGTCGCTGGTCAACTGGAGAATCCGCCTTCTGTTTTTAGAGCCTGCACCAGGCGTCAGAAGGCATATATGTTTGTGCCCAACAAGGAGACCAAACAGAAAAAGATATGGACACCGTTGGAGTCAACCGAACAAGATGCAGACAGTGAGACCTCGGTCAGACTGCCAAATTAATCGATTTGCTGTGGAGGCTGTGGCAAAGGCTTGTGGGAAGTAACACACACATGCGTAAGTACTGCCTGCGCTCCGACCATTCCCAGTGATCCTAAGGGCCTTGTTGCCCACTACGATGAAGGTGATGAGACTCGATGCTGCCGATAGTGATACCGGAAACGGTGGTGACGGATGAAGAGGATGATGATGATGATGATGGCGCTGATGATGATGCTGATGATGATGATTGATGGTTGATGATGACGGATGATGTCGATGATGATGATGATGCTGATGATGATGATGATCTGATGGTGGTGGTGTTGGCGACGGGGACGTGCTTAATTGATTAGACCTGTGGTCGCACTAGCAGCACACTCGTATACTGGCCATGACCATAGCTTTGAAAAGATGTTGACCATGTTTTCGACTAGTTAAAGTGACTAGTTCCTGCAGCTTCTCAGGCTTATGACCTTGTTGCATGCCGCCATTGTCGATTACTCTGGTTGTTGATGCCGCTTTTCTACAAATTCAAGCTCTTTTGAGCTGGTGATTGCGAGTCTTCCTAATGCTCTCCTGGCATGCAGTTCATGCTGACATTGCAGTTCCTTGACCTGTTTTTGTGTATGCAGTCCCTGCTGTTGTTCCATCTTGTACGGCAACAGCTAAATTCTACGATGATCTCTATGTTGAGGAATGCTTCATAGTTTAGCTGGGATTCCAGGATGGCTAGTCGCATGGCTACCTACCATTGGCACCAGTCCCACAGGTCTTAATTACCATCACTCTGATGATGCGAAGGCGTTCGCTTCTGTGCTTCTGCCTCGTCATACAAGTCTTGCAGCTATCGATCGATAC